CAGAAAATTCACATCTTTTTCATAAAGAAACAAGTTGTTTTCACCGTCATTATTGTAAATAATCAGTATTTGCACAGCATTTTGTTCAGTTATAGTAAATAAAAGCTTTGCAACTATTTGTATTCTAAAGCCAAAACTCATGCTTAGCAACATTGTAAAAAAAGTTAGCTCCCTTCCGGACCGTAGGGACATATATGTCCCAAGCAAAAAAAATTACTTTTTTAAAAAAATAAGCAAAGCTATTAGGAAAAACAAATGTAAATATAATACCTAAATAGTAAACCTTTGAAAAACCGCAAGTAATTTCTTTCTGTTACAGATAGTATTTTTTATATAAAAATGTAAACTGTAGCTTTGCAAGTGGTCTAAAAATGCAAAGTTCCCATAATTATGACAACAAAACTATCTCATATATACTGAAAGCAACTTTATTTATATTAAGTCTATCATGTAATAAATTTTTTTAAAGCAAATTCAGCAACTCTATGTTATTCCAATTTCATTTGGTGATAATTTGAAAATTTGGGACACCAGTGTCCTTTGGTCCTGAAAGGGTTAATCAAATTAAAAAGCGATTAATTTTCTTTAATTAATTATTATTTAATTGCGACATACTAACGAATGACAGAGCTTTAAAAAGGGATTTATTTAACATCATTAATATCATTAATATAACTAAAAAAACAACACGTGAAACCATCAACCATTTCAAGCTTGCATGTTTTATAAAGGCCTACTTTTGACTAGCTTGCCAAATCTATATATATATAATTTTCTTCTTGGAGAGCCTAGAAAACACCAAGCTGTAAGCGCGCTCCCTACCACCCCTACCCCTACATGGTCTGGTGAGCTGTGGTTCACGCTAAATGTTTACAATCGTAGAGCCGGGTTTAGTGACGGCTATTAGGGGCAGATAATTTAGTTCGAAACGATTTTAAATCTAGGGGAGGTAACTAAGAGGAGGCTGCTTTCAGGGGGGGGGGGGGGTAGGGGTTGGGGAAAGGAGGGGGGGGGGTTATCGTCCTTAACGAGCTACAGATAGTGTTTTAAAGCAAATATATTCAGTGGCAGCATTTGTACTGTCGAATTCATAAATTATGAATTACTGAAAAATAGAAAATAAAACAACTAAATAGCGGCGTATGATAAGCCGCGGGTAGGCTCGTATGAAATAAACGTTTTACAATTTGCAGCAAGCAAGAATAAACATTTTCAAAAATCGATTATTTACATAGGAATCGGCTAAAGAAAAACACACACACAAGAATGTTTGAATGGTGATACTTTTCATGATTTTGCCGAGTTATGAAAATTTTGAATTCATCAATCATCATTTGAATGTTTTCTTTTCATAAGTAGCCTACTTTCTATATGTTTGGTATGTTTTGTATTGTATACCAGTGAGAGTCCTTAATAGTCCGACTAATGTATAAGGTAGATTTGACAAATGAAGCGAAAAGTATTTAATAATGCATGTTGCAAATAATCATACAATATACATGCTTTGGAAATATCGTTAAGTGTTGCGCCCAAAATTCATTAAAATACTATAGATTCTTTAGACAAGTGTAAATTCTAATTTAAATATCTTTATTGATCAGGATTTTTAAAAAAAGTCCACTTCTAAATGTTAATGAGCAATAAACATTGTTTTGATAGAAAAAATATCGTATGCGTTTATATTCAGTAAACATGGGCATGCGCTTTATGATTTAAATGTCAGTCGACACAGAGGCGTAGCGAGGGGGGGGGGGGGGGAGGTGCGGACCGCACCGGGCGACACCATTTAGTGGGTGACACCAAGGCAAAGAATGGCAAAATAGATAGAGAAAAATGACAACTGCACTTAATCAAGTGATTAATTCGAGTGTTAAATAGTGTTTTAAGAGGTGCAAATCGAAAGTTTGATTGGGGGGGGGGGGGTGCAAACGGAAAATCGAAAGTTGTTTGGGGGGGATGCAAATTGAAAATTCAATGTTTGTCCTCGGGAAGGGTCGCTACGCCTTCGGGGGGGGGGGGGGGGGGTCGACACCATTAAGTGCCGCACCGGGTAACACCCGACCTCGCTACGCCACTGAGTCGACATCAATCTCAACTTATCAATCAATAATTCACACTCTAGCAAGACGACATCTGTCCTTACATTACACAACTGAATTATTTGTGAATATTTGAACATTTACATATTAGAAGGTAACCGTGTATGTCCTAGCAAACTAGTGAGTATGCCCGTGCGTTTAAATAATCAAATTTTACATGTGAATATGCGCATCTATTATTTGACTCGTTTCAGTAACTAAATAATATTTAGCTTTTTTTCCATTGGGTTTTTAAAAAAAAAAAAATTTAAAACTTTGTTATTAAGATTGCTAAAATACAGATTTTTTACAATGATTTTGTATACTACAACTGATAATTAAATAAAATTTCTACCACTATACTTTAAAAAATAAAAGTATGATATATTTATAAAGTGCATTCAATTAAATTGTGTATTCTTAGATGGCAATTTTTAATTAATATTCAATTTATTTATCTTATCATTTATGTGATCAACACTATGCACAGTAGCCTTTACTTGCCGATGGTTTATGTCAGGTACCCATTACTTGATTGGATTGAGAGACGTACGATGAGTTTAATCAGGGATCCTAACTCAAGACTTAAACAATTGTCCTTCAAATATTCTCAATAGGAGAAACGGCGACATATATTAGGCAACAAATATACACATGCACATACCCGTTCGTTTTAAATAGTGCGATACGCTATAGATTCGATAGGCTACTATAAGCATTCACAAACTCGAATCAATTGCAACATCCGACAACCAATAAGAATGCGATTGGGCGTCCGGATTCCCCTGTAAGCATTATAGCGCCTACATTCGCTTTAACGAGCATCCAACAGCAGTCTAATCCAACATAATAATAAGTACCACACCACATACAACAAATATAAACACAACAACGCTCATCACATAAAAAACACAACTGATTTTCGAATCGTTGAAGAATAATTTTTATTTTACTTATTAAAAAGTAGGGGAAATAATTACATTCTTCCGCAAAAAATGGTGCTTGCATATATCAATTTTTTTAAAAATAAAAGAATTTGTTTTATTTTTCGTAAAAGAATAAACTTTCAGTTTATTGTACAGTAACGCTGTTTAACTAAAATGGTACTCAAATTATTGTATTTTCACGTAAACACACACACACACATGCTCTCACATCACACAGACAAAATTGTGATTTTTAGCACAATAGTCCTGAAACTCTATGAAATCGAACTAAATTTTCGAAAAAATCTTTTTAAAAAATATGACCAACTATTTAACTATAGTTACATTTATAAACTTAAGGCCGTTTGGAACCATCGATTACACTTATGTTCAAATTTTTATATTGAATATAATCCGTTGAAAAGCCGTTTAGAATTATTTTGTCAATTCAAATATTTAAAAAAAACTGCCCTTAACCTCTCCTTGAAGTTATCCGGAATGGCCAGGCAGAGTAAAAAAAAATAAATAAAAGTCAGAACAATTGTTCTCCATGATAAAATAAACAATATTGGTCCATGGTGTATATCCTTGTATTGTCTTTATATTAAATAATATAGCATCCCATATCACCGCAACACCATGACTCTACCAATACTAATTAAAAATAAGTTTAGTGGCTGCTAAATTAATACTATATTTATGATAATTATTTGTTTGAATATTTCTAGCCATAATAAAATCGGAAGTTATTTTGTGCTCATTACACTAATGTTGTAAACTATTCAATTTTGGTTTTAAAAAAATCCTTTCTGGTAACAAACATTTGGAATCAGCTTTTCAAGCCTATTGTGTCTGTCACTTAGGTGGACTAAATATTATGTATAAGTATTGAATAAAATTAGTAGTTTATTGTCACCTTTTGAGCGATTTTCGATAACAGAAAAGGTACTTAATTTCTCAAAAGCTAATAATCAGAGCACCGTTTAAGTTATGTGGACGAAAAAATTGCATACAATTATTGCATGGGAAGTTTTCTTTCATTTTTTGAATGAAACAGGGTAACCAGAAGTATTGCTTTACACTATTTCCCTGTGAACACGATAACAAGAGTATTTTTTTTTTCAATTTGGTAGACGAAATTGTATATATACTGTAAGAATTTATACTTGAATTACTTTAAATTTTGAATTGACCTCATAAAATTAAAAGCGGTTCTTCACTCTATTTCAGGTTTCTAAATACTCGATAATTTGAGTAAGAGTGAAGAAATGTTTACATAGTTATATGATCTTATTTTATTGATTCTGACACACTTTTCACTCAGATCAAAACTTATGCTGGACAACAGCAAATTTTAATGTTAATGAAGCAATAAAAATACAAATTTCACCTTACGAACCTGTAGACCCAAACTTCCTTTTTGAAAAATATTTCAATGTTTTGAAATTAATGTGTTACGTATTATATCTTTATTTGATTTGTCTTTTGCATTTTTATATCTAATGCTTTCATATAAATGTATACATTTTTTAAAAGTGAGTTTACTCAGTCTTTTGATGCTTTGTTTATTTAGTTTAAGTTATTCAACTGGTATATCTCACAATAATTATGTGTAAACAGTAAATAAAATCCATAATATGACATTACATTTTAAAACAAAATGTAAATCGACTAAAATAATCCTAAATACAATAAATATTTTACTGTGAGATATTTTATCTGAGATAATGTGTCCATAATATCATTTGTCCTGATATATTTTGTCCTGGTTTCTTTTGTCCGTGAGATATTTAGTCTGGGATATTTCGTTTGAAATAATTAGTCCTGTCACCTTTTAATGTATAATATATTATTATAAAAATTAATAATCGGATGTTTCTGCTTTGAAATTCAAAGGGAATATAGTTGAGAAAATTAAGTGAATGACTCGATATTCTGATTCATCATGTCTAGGTACTTCTTTAATACACGTCTTTTCGCACTTTTTATATTTCAGCACATTATTTGGCTTTAGAGAACTGAAAAGAAAATGGTGAGTATAACATTTATTTATAAATAAAATCATCTTATTAATCTTTTTATATCTATATTATAACTAGGCATACTTCCTAGCTTCGCTTAAGTTTTCAAAAACATTTTAGAATTTGAATGCTTATTTAATTCGTAATTGACTGTTATGTTGAGTGCTTACGATTAAACGGTAATGCTAATTTTAGAGAAAATATTGTTGTTATTGTTAGGTCGCAATTTATGATTGGAAAGGTAATTAGAACTACAGAAGTTCCCTGAACAGTATAACCAGGGGCGGAACTACAATACCGCCAGACCCCGCAATGCGGGGGGGGGGGGGGGGGGCAGGCCAATTAGGGGCCCACGGCCGACCATAATCAATATTTTAATAGTTAAAAAAATAATTTTGTTTTAAAAAAAAAAAAAAACAGATCTACTACAGCGGTGATGAACTACAGTAGCTAACACACGCTGTTTCGCAAAAGGAAATAATATATAGGCTACATGAGTTGTAGTGTGAAAGATAGGCAAACGTTCAAACCACGTCCATGACTTATTTCCCTTTTTAAATAGTCAAATATGTGTGCTCTTAAGAAACTTTTAATAGATTTGCACTTAACAAGTTAAAAAGCAAATACTTCTCTTAATTATTTAACAAAAAAAATACATAATAAAGAATGACATAGTATAAAAAGAAAATATATTAAAAACTAATAATCTAAATACCAAAAAACAAAAATAATAAACATAAGCCGAGAAACCATTACACATACAAAGCTTTCATGCTTCATATTCTTTGACCAACATGTAAAATATAAAGCAAAATGTCAGACATTGAAAAAGAATTTCAAAACACTTAAAGCACTCGCACTAATGTTGTGTTATTGTAACATATTTTAACTAAAGAAATAAAAACTAAGAATTGTAATGTTTTCAAATTTCGAACAAGCTCGTGTTGAGTATTTATTTTCATATATATATATATATATATATATATATATATATATATATATATATATATATATATATATATATATAAATATATATATATATATATATATATATATATATATATATATATATATATATATATATATATATATATATATATATATATATATATATATATATATGTATATGGGCCAAAATGTTTTTTTTGCGGGGTGGCCCTTTTTTTCTAGTTCCGCCACTGAGTATAACTCATAATTTATATTACATTGCGAACATCCCAATATTTTCTCCGAAAACGGACTAGAAACAACAAACAACAACAACAACAACAATTTCTCTTAAATTAGCATTGCTATTTAAATTTAAGCACTCCACACATCAGCCGTCACTAAATAATTAAGTTTTTAAATTCTAAAATGTTTTTTTTTTGAAAACCTAAGCGAAGTAACTTTTTAGCCCTCGCCGTGCGAGCAGAGGCTGACCGATAGTTTATCCATAAGGCCGCTTTATTTACCCAGGTGTATGGAAAAAATGAGCGAGATGTACAGAGCCAAAGTTCCTAAGCATTGTTTTGAAAAGAGTCAGAAAATTAACAATGTTTATATAGGTAAAATTCGGACCGGTCAGTTCTAAAGGTCTTCCAGAGTTTTCCGGAACATATCATAGTTTTTGTTGCCACCCCCGAGGGTCGGTCTACGACCTCAGGAGTTATGAAGAGGTTCCTACGTGGGAATTTTTTTTCAATATATTGCTCATATAAGGCGCCGGTCAGTCGAGATCAGTTTTGACCCCCTCTTCGTGGAATTGTTGGCCAACCGGCTACGGCCCCCGTGTTCTTTCGCACCAAGGCAGGAGCCTGCCAAATTTGAAGTGCCTGCGGCGCCGGGAAGTGCCCGGTTGGCACCCGACCACTTTGCTTTATATATATATATAGATGCTTATAGGTCAATATTTTTACGCATTAAGTATGTAAATGTAACGGCGTTTTACTAAATGTAATCCCGAATGTAGTTTTTACTTTTATGAACATGATATTTTAACACTATTTAATGAAATTACTTAAAGCAACAAAACTCAAGAAGATAACATAGAGTCCTTTGCACGTTTAATGATCAATGTCACAATATTTAAGTTGGATGCATACCGATTAACATAACGCTTAATAGGGAGCACAGAAGTTTGGATGTATAATATACGTGACATTTTCGGGAGCCTATAGGACGGGATCCATTTGTCGCTGGCTCTTTTGATGGCGTCAATTAGACAGTTTTGACATTAGCCGTTATGACTTCGCACGGCCAATAACATTTGTCACTAGATTTTGAGGTCATAAGATACACTTTTTCAATTTTTATTTTTTATTTTCTCAATCTTTGGTATAATATTTATTTCTATGGTATTAGTGTTAGTTACCTGAAGTATATCCATAGTTTAACGTCTCAGACAGTAGCAGTAATGGAATAATTACGTTCTAAATAACTGACACATAATCCTCTTTTCACATAAATATTTGACATCTGTGAAGGGTGTAAACT